CAGGATTTATACTCAAAAATTCCAGACTCTATCAAACGAGAATTTGATTCAAAGTTTATTGATCTATAACTTACTGGTATACGTTTTATAGCGTGATCTCCAAGCAATATCGACATTTATCCTATCTTGCATTCTACTGCACTTTCTTTTCTCTTTTGAGTAACATTAACCTACACTCCTCCTCTTGTGAAGTTTCTATAGAGGTAACAAAAAATTTGAAAATTGTTAAGAGTAAACTATTTCTAGGTTTTTTATTTTCCCACCAATGTGTACTTGAAGATTGAAGATTGTTTAAAGCCAAAAAATAGACAGTCAGTTCAATTCTCTTTTGATGAGAAAGAACGATAAAAATGAGACTATTGTAGAGAACTTATTAATAATATAAACTACCCTAAATTCTGCTTTTCATTAGCATAATACGACTGGAGTGTGTATGCTTCTCATGTGTCTATTTTAGAACTGTATGGATGTTACCAGCAATAAATAAGGATCTAAATAAAGGTTTTTTCCAGAAAAAACTTCTTGCAATGTTTGTTGCTTCTCAATATTAACTTTTCATGCAAAGCCTTGCTCTAAAACATCACTTTTGAAGTTATCCTAATATTACCGAAATACACAGAAGAACGATTGAATTATGAATTACTTTGTTGACCTAAACCAGAGCTCATAGATGGCTATACAAATACGCGGAAGTTGTGGACGGTTACGCCTGTCAAAGGTCATTTGCACTCAAGTGGTTCTCGCATTTCAATCACGTCACAACCGTTGTGGGAGCTATTGAACCCAAGACTTCATATTCGTCTCACTTTTCCAAATTGTTCTATTTGCAACTGTCTACCTAACCAGAATCAACCACATATGGTCATTCAAAAGTGCTTCATATTGTTTATTAATTTGGCAATAATGTCGTCAATTTTCTGCATAAAACTAAAGAGTTTCAATCTCGAAACTATCAAGCTTGAACCTGCTCCTAAGCCTAGCTTCTTGATAAATGCCACCTACGATGCTATCAAGCAGTTCATGTCAATTTACAAAACTCCAGCAATTTCACAGATAAAAAAGGTATGATTTTTCCATTGGGTTATTTTCTATTTCCGCAAACTTGAAGACGAGTTCTGAACAACTATATTGGGACAGAAATTAAGTAAACTGCGTTAAAGCTTTAAAAAAACTTCATAACTCACCTACAATCAGAGAGTTTGGACGAAAATGGACTCAAGGAAGTTTAAGCTTTTGAGCTGCTGATGGCCCTCGAAATCACTTGATTCCGTATCTATGGTAAATACGCCACAAACAAAAACACTTTCTACCGTTTCTATGGGAGAAATTTTGTTTGATTTCTTTGAAAAATAACTTGCTCATGTTTATGAGAAT